TCCAGCTTGCACATGGTGCAGGAAATGGTTCCACCTGGCACAGTAGTAGTTCCACCTGGTGAAGGACAGCTGGCACAGGAAATGGTTCCAGCTTGGACATGGTGCAGGATACGGTTCCACCTGGTACAGAAGTGGTTCCACCTGGTGAAGGACTGGCACCAGGGTGCAGGAAATGGTTCCACCCTCTGTGCGCAGGACGGTTCCAGCTGGGACAGGAAACCATTGCAGCTGGTGCAGGACAGGGTTCTAGGGAACTCCATACCTGTTAACCTTATAGCAGCTGGTACAGAAGTGGTTCCATACCAGCTGGTACAGAAGTGGTTCCACCTGGTACAGAAGTGGTTCCACAGAGTCTCCCCACAACCCACCCTTTTCTCCCCCTCGCAAAATCTGCATCCGCACTCTCTCCTTAGCGGACGTCAAAGCGAAACCCTCACGCGACTCCTTACTCCCAATGACTACTGTCTGTGCCATCCCATCTTCTTTACCACCCTGTACGCTAACCACTTTCTCCCCGCGCCTACCTTCTTCACCCGAGTACAACGTACGGTCATTATTGCTATATTTAGCCTCAAAAGATACCCCCAATACAGATACAAGGACTGTACATTGTATGCGGGTGACGAGGGTAGGCGGTATGCCTTTCTCACGCCTTGTCCCTGTCATCGACAGAGGAGCACTCGCTGAAACCGTCCGGTACAAGTTATCCACAGCCAAGTGGGCCTTTGTTGAGGTGCCAACTGTCCCATCCCTTGAGTCACAAAGATGCGTACCGTGTGACATGCACACTGAGCAACATGGGTACTGTGCAACAAGTGTGCAGCCAAGTGGGGACCACATGCGTACCGAGTGACCTGAGTGACGGTTTCCGAACCCGTATCTTTAAACTTCGCTATGGTTGATCTTGCACCTGGTATAGAATCCCAACGGTCTGAGGATATCCTACCTTTCTCCAGGAACCATGAGGTGCAGCAACCAAATACCCCCTCTCACGCCTGCGGAACGCACTTGTGCCAAGCCGTCTGCTTCCTTGCTTATCTCACACCAGCCACTCTCCTGACATCATTGTTCAGCTACGAGGTCCGTATGCGAGCTGTAGGTTGGTGGGCCTGCGACAATGGGCCTCACTCCGCTACACAACACTCCACATGCATCAGGACTGCGATATCGACCAGATGCATTTGCACTGATCGAACATCTTCAACATATTGCGGCCGTTACCAGCTCCAGATACGTTTGGAATACCTCGCAGTGGAGCAAGGCCCAATGTGAAAAAGACCACTGTCTGGCCCGGCACACGACCTATGCAGTAGAGAAAGTGCGAAGGGTCTACCGTCTTCACCTGAATAGTGCGCCCGGTCATTATAGCTGCATTTGGCACAACTGTCGGTCCAGATGCAGCCATAATGACCGGGGGTTCTATTCAGGTGAAGACGGTAGGTTGCACCACTCACCATCCACCAACATTTTGACTGCATCCCGCACACGGGCTCCATGCATTCAAAATCTTGGCGGATGCCGAGTGGTGCAACTACCGTCTTCACCCAAATAGAACGCCCGGTTATTATAGCTGTATCTGGACTGAAAAGTGCACCAAATACAGCTATAATGACCGGGCGTTCTATTCGGGTGAAGACGGTAGGCCCAAAGGCCATGACAACCATCACAACGCACCGGACGGCTGCTGGTCCTCTCCTCACCAAATCCCGGTCCCCCAACTTCAGCCCCAAACTCGCGCCAGCCGCTGTCGGATTCCCGAGGACCTATCCGCAGGAAACGCGACAAAGTCTTCGAATACTGCTGCTCCTAAATCTACAGCTACAGGGGAAAACGTAGCTGTCTCTCCTCAGCACATCCCAGTCCAGCCCCAAACTGGTGCCAGCCACTGTGGGATTTCCTAGCCCCTGTCCCCAACGTATTCCAGTCCTACTGCTGCTCCTCAATGTACAGCCACAGGGAAAAAAACAGCTGTCTCTGCACAGCACATCCCAGTCCTCCCAACTCCAGCCCCAAACTCGCGCCAGCCACTGTCCAATTCCCGAGGACCTATCTGCAGCGTATTCCAGTGCGACCGCTGGCTCCTCAATCTACAGCTACAGGAAAAAAGTAGTTGCCATCCAAAGGCGGTTGGTCATTGAGGTCTCGCAGGTCAGCAGACTTGAGACAATGCGCAGCAGCAGAGTCCTGAGTCCTTCATAGTGGGCATACTCGCACTAGAAGGTTTTCGCCTCATCTTTGGACGTAATTGCAGGTCGGTTACGTCCAGGGCCAGCCATAATTGCGGTCAGATTCGTCCAGTGCCATCCGTCATTGTGATCAGATGCATCCAGGAATGCCCTAGTGTAACTATGCCCTGAAGTACCTTTCGTACCGTCGCGGTCCATAAGTGGAATAACACAGGTAATCACTCCTCCTCCCAACAGACAGGGAAAAGGGGAAAACACAGGTAATCACTTGTCCTTCCAACAGGTGGGGAAAAAAAGGGGAGAACACAGGTAATCCCTCCTCCTCCCAACAGATATGGAAAACCTAATTCCAACAGAGAAGCTATATGCAACGGAAACTCGAAGAGTACTTAAACCGCCTCTCTTCCCACGCCTATTTTGCTGCACCTGTTGCACACCCAGCCCTCAATTGCTGGGCTGGTGCAGGTTCAAACCTTCCCAGCGCAGTGGGCTGAACTAATCGGCAGGCCTTTTGTACGCCGACACAGGGTCCAGGACTAGAAACAAGGGCAGCAATCCGTTTGCCGGGTTGGTTTCGCCCTTTTTCTGATGCGGAGGTCATTTGAACTTCGCTACCGTAATTCCAGCATCAGAAAAAGGGCTAAACCAAAGACCATCAAGTAGACCATCACACACGTCGGCGGACACATTGCACACCGGCGCATACGCTGAGGTAATTTGGCACTCCAACGGTTCAACTTCACTTCCCTGGGAGTTCTTGAATGTCCTCCATCTTGTATACCATCCATTGACAGACATCTGCAGTTCGCTTGACCTAACCTTTTCCACTTGGTTGGATACTCGGCAGAGTTCCCAGGCCAAGGTGCCAAGTTCGTTCGGGCTGCAGGGAGGTTGCCTGGAAGTCCACGGGGAAACCAGTCACTTGATCCGCTCATCCACGCGTGCCCCCGGATGCGGGGGGTTGAGGTAGGTGCTTGTACCAGGTAGACGATCTACCCAAATGAATGCGTCGGTGCAGACCTAGGCGACGACAGGCGGCCCTGACCAATGTGCATCTGCCCTCCGCCTCCCCACCACTTCCTGCGGGAGGCAGGCAGACAATTCCAACACCCAAAGAAGCACCAGTGGGGTCTGTCCCTTACTTTGCCATTCACTTGCTTGCCCATTCGCCTACATGTGTGTTCATCCACTTCCATAGCTCATCTACTTAACCGTTCAGTCTTGACCATTCAGAAGAACCCGATTCCGACTCGACTGATGTGTTCGGGTCGGCCTGATCCCATCACGACCGCCTCCAAAGGCATCACCCCGGCTGGGCCCGGCCCGGCCCAGCCCAGCCCGCCCCGCCTCTTGCCTTCCCATTCCCTTGCTCACCCACTTGCCTACTCACCTGCTTGCTCACTTGTGTACTCGACTACTCCGCCACTCTGTCTCGGCCACTTGGCAGGGCCGACTCCGTCGTGACTGACGTCCTCAGGTTGCTCAGCCGCTTGCCTTTTCGCCTGCTTGCTCACTCGTGTGCTCAACTACTAAGCCACTCTGTCGCGACCACTTAGCAGAGCCGATTCCGTCATAACTGATGTTATCGGGACATCCTGATGCCCCCTCCACTGCTTCCAGAAGGCACACCACCCATTCCAGCACCGGAAGAAGGACCTCCCATAACAGTGGTCACATTCGGTCTACCAGGCAATGGCATTAACCCCCCGCTTCCACCACCGCCAACAGTCCAGGTCCCTTGACCGAAACCCACTTGCAATGTTCTGTGCAGGCCGTCGGCGACTGCTCTCAGACGACCCTCGCCGAACCACTTCGCACCCATTCTTTCCCTGACCTCCACTGCAGTCAGCAATGCTTGGCGAACTATATCCCACTCCCCTCGTGCATACACCCACCGCCCGCCTCTTGCTCCCTCACTCCCTTCCACTTCCAAGACCCGGATGACACCCTCGTTCCAGAGCATCTGAAGTCGGACTGACACGTACCGTGAGCGAGGAGGTGCTTCGCTTGTTCCGCTGATGCCACCCAAGAACGACGACGAAGCCGCCACGTCGATGCTGGTGCCACTAATGCCAGCATCGCCATTGACAAGCGCTCCTCCTTGAGTCATACCTCCGCCTACGATTCCCACACGTACAGCCTCTACCAAGAAACCCAGCGACATCTCCACTGCATTGTTCTCTCTGTCAATGCGAATGCCCCCATGAGTCTTCGGGATGGTCCCTGCAGCTGTGACACTACCCCTATGCTTCCCACCATCTGCTGCAGATCCGGAACGCCGCATCACCACGCCCTCAAGCACCAGCTCTCCGCGCACAGAAAGCCCCCATTTCTCTCCTTCTCTCAAGCATTCCTCCTCCCACGCGATCACTCCAATGATCTCCTTCAACACGACAACAGGAAGCATAATCATAGTGACAAATGATGCAAGTCGTGAAGCCTCGTATGGCTCCGATGCCACCTTGTGTCCAAAATACTCCACAAGCTTGTCTATTTCCGCCTGGGAGAGCTCGGGAGCTGCCGACAGCGCCGTTGAGCTGTCCCCTGATAGCCCGGAGCCCTGCTTTTCCTTCGCCGCGCTCGGTGGCCCTAGCTGCTGTATGAACAGGTACAGCTGCTGCCTTGATTTGTCGATCGTAAACACAAAGCCCAATGACCTGCGTACAGACATAACACGACATCACACATCAAAACCCACCCCAATCCTTCAAATATGAACTGCCTTCTCCCTACCCTTTAGCTTCCCTCCATCCAGTCAATGAACTCATGGATCAACATCGCCCACCCCGACCAACCAACTCCAAATCGAATGATCATCATCAATCCATTCACAGTAAACAATCAACACACCAGTTATGGGTCAACGAAACTAACATGTGAATCAACAGTTCTACACCACGGAGCCATCTCACAAAGAGACATACACCACTCTTTATTACAAATGGAAGAAAAGGAGTTGAGATGCAAAGCGCATTTACAGCGAAAGAGACGAGATTCAACTTTGAAAGCGTATGTCAGATGGAAGCTTGGATCTCAAGATCAGCATCAAAGTTATCAATACAGAGTTTAACAGGGGTTAACAGGGGTTAGCAGGGGTTAACAGGGGTTAACAGGGGTTAACAGGGGTTAAACGATGAACACCCCCTCACTGACGGGAATGTGATCCTCAATCCAACAGTTGAACTGAAAAAGGGGGCACCACACACGCACCCACACAAACGCACACACACAACACCCCCCCTCCCCCTGCCTCCCCACACACACTCACACACTCACAAACATCAAACTGCACACACAACTGGATGCGGCATTCCTCCCCGTCCCCTCTTCCTCTCACTATCTCTTTGTCGGTGCATGTGTGGGGTGTTCATGAGAGGCCCGGAGGGCTGTGGGTGCGCAAGTGTGTAGGACACAGAGGAGAAGCAAAACACAGGAAAGGGGATAGGAGACATGCACGCACACACACACACACACACACACACACACACACACACACACACACACACACACACACA